GTTAGATGAAGTCACCCATTTTTTCATTTTAAAATCAGCTGTCACCACAACAAGCCTTTGAATTTTCTCTGACATTTCACAACTCTCTAATTACCATACTGTGATGACACATTATACATTGAATCCAGTCATCATCAAATCCTTTGTTACCAAAAATACAAACATTAGATTTACAAACTGGCCTTGACCTATGAATGCAGATTAACTTTATCAAGTCAATTGGGTAATCTCATTACACTTGATAAAAGTCACTCTATATTAAATATTTAAAACTTATCAAGTCAAATTTGTGGCTTTGAGCTACACTTACATCAAAAGACAGCATAACACAGACCTGACAAAAGCTTAATGACCCTTGCACCACAAAGGCTAAGCATAAATTGAAGGACTACACCCTGAATTATTGACTGAGCTAAATGGCTTATTTCCCCATGGAGAACCAGGAAGGCAATAATGGTCTTCAAGCCAGGCAGTTCAATTTCCCTTCATATATGGCAATCATTAACCCAAACAGCCTGAGCAGAGCTTGGAGTGACTTACTTTTCATAGCAAAGATGGCACAGAATATTGAAAAAAACAAACAAACAAACAACAACCTCCCTCTAACGCTACAAAGCTAAACTATAATAAAATATTTATACATATTTTACAGCAGCTTTGATTTTTTTTTGGGAAGATTTTAATGTTTAATTTACCACATAGCTTTGGCTTAAGTTGACACAATATATTGCTTGTGAGTTTCCTAGATACTAATTTCCTGTAAAAGTGCTAATGCAAAGTGGTCAAACCTTTTTAGAAGATGAGTTGAGAGCTGCAATCTGGCAAAGAGTGAGGCTGCTGAATTTGATAGAAATGGAACTTTACAAACAAATAAATCAAAGCAGTGCAGAACAAAGCAGAGTAGAAACAACAACCAAAATACTATCATAACACTGCTGTGATCAGTCATCCAGGTGAAAATCATAACGTTGAGGCTGACCTCTGAAAAAACAATGTGGAAAAACAACAAAGGCACTGTGACCACAGACGACACATGGGAATGTACTTGCCATATCCACAGTCAGCAGGTTTACTCCAACAACCAAAGCTGCCTGAACCTCGCTCTAAAACCTTGTGTTTAATGCTCTGCCAGCTGCTCTATACAACTGTGTAGTCTAGTGTCATCCACACACCACAGTGCCGCACCCTCAGGGGCGAAGACTTAATGTCAGCCACCCAACTGCATGCAAAGCTATGGGCACATATCTGATGTTACCTTTTAACCTGTGTTGTCTGTGGACATGTAAATGATTAACCAATAATTCATAGAGTTTCACTGTGTGCAATCAGTTACCTGCAGACAATCATGCATGCCAAGTTTCATTCTTACATGCACTGTAATGTGGCCTACTTTACTTAAGCAGGACGTGGCATGATAACCATAAAGTGGTCGGTGCATTTGATAGATAAAGTTATAAATTAACACAACTAATTTCCAAAAAAAGTTTAACATTAAATAGAAATAGTAATGAATTAATGAACTGATTTTCAGGACATAACGAATCCACAATTATTCTCCTCTGATATTACACTGAAGATTGTAAGATTCTTAAGTGCTGATGGGTGTAAACAAGTGATCTACTTTTTTTTTTTTTTTACAGCTATATTAATACATAATGCTGTATGGTTTTATATATTCAGTTATTGGGACAGGGCTAGACATTCTCTAGCTTCAGCTTCAGAAATACCAAGAGAATTAATTTCTCAGGCTTTCCTTATTTTAAACAGACCCATTACTATTATTATTGCTCTTTTCCAAATCCACTAAATTTTCCAGCTTGTTTTTATTCTGGGATTCTCTTGTTGGAGCTCTGCAGGATTTCCAGTTCACATTGATCGTTCTTTATGTTAAACTGTGCTTTGGTGTAGCCCCTCAGTTCATCCTTTTCCCCCTACATTTAAGCCCTTTGAAACTTTACTCATGTTTAATATGAGCATTCATTTTAACAGTATATATGATAAATAAATTACATTTTAAAACTCCAGAAATCAGTCCAAAATGCAATCTTTAACCTTCTGATCTGATCTCGACTATAATAAACATTATATGAATTGACCGGCCAGATGAATAACAAAATTATTTTCGATAATGACACTCTTTTTTCTTTCTTTCCAAAACTCATCTAGCTGGACTTTGGCAAATACGACAGGTGCATTTATTGGAAAGCAAAGGTTGCACATTCTCGGTAACTCGGATGCACATTACCTTCGGTTATTTGGCAAACTTGAAAAAAAAAAAGAAGTGAAAATGCCAAGTGACCAAGTTAGCTCGCAGCTGAATGTCAGATAATAAAACACAACACAAAAAATTTCACTTTACCTGAATCCCCGGCAGTCCGCTCTGAATTGGAGAGTGAGCCATGGCGTCAAGTCAGCAAAGATGACGCCTTTCCTCGTCTTTTCACCTCTATTTATCAGAGGTATAACGTTTCTTTCCTAACAACACCCTGCTGTAACTGACAGAGCTCCAAACTATGAAAGACGTGCTACCTTATTAAAAGACGTCTCCAAACCAAAATAAAGTCAGGTTCACTTGTCGGCTCCTACTTTGAACCGCCTGCCTGCTTTCTCCTGACTCGCCTTCCGCAGTTAACGTTAGCAGACGTTAGGTAGGCTAGCGACTTTAGCAGCTGGTTAACAAACAGTTAGCAAAATAACTGCGTCGCAGCGTCCTCTCCGCGCGTGTTTGACAGTTTCCGGGTGAAAGTAATACAGGTGTGGCATAAAATAATCGCGCAGAGCGAATACATGCAAACTGTTATGGAGTTTGGTCGCTTGTTGTTCTATTCTCTCATCACTTTTCTCTCTTGCCCGGCGCCATCTTGGTTAATATCATTTTCGTTTAGCGAAGGACCAATCAGCGCGAGGCACAGCAGATGTCGTCATTCGTAAACCAAAAAACGTCACAACTTAGTACCTTTCGCTTTTCTGCATGGACATTTTTTTGGGGAAAACAAAGATATATTTGATGTGATTTTATTTTAGTCATGCCAAAACGGAAAAGCTCATTCTGTTCCCAAGAAACTACAGAAACCAAAACTGCTGTCCTACACTATTTATGAGCTTAAACAATAGCGCCTTTTCTTATTTCTTCTCCTTCTTTCAGCTGCTCCCTGTAGAGGTCGCCACAGCGGGTCAACTGCCTCCATCTCACCCTATTATCCTAGCATCCTCCTCTGGCCTCTCTTCGTCCCCAGCCTGCTCAACCTGAGCTGCCGCCGCCCGTCATATCCATACTGACAAAAGTGTCAATTCAGTCCAATTTTTTAAATTGATATTTAATTATCTTTTAATTTGAGTGGGTGAAAATCTTTACAAATAAGTGTCAGTCGTTAAAATTGTCAAAGACATGTTTATAAAAGTCTGCTTTTTTTCCTTTTCTTTTTTAAATGACATCTATATTCTGTATATTTTTATGCATAAATATATACATTTAAGTCTCAAACTTAAATGTATATAATACGTGAATAATGTTATAATAAGTAGATAATGAGAGAAAAATTGCTTTTACTTCTTCTGTTTTATTACAGTATGAAGGTAAATACCAGCATTTTACACAAAATGCATGAAAAAACTGCACTTACCTAAATTTGCATTTAATAGCTCCTGCTACTAAACTTGATATTTAGTTATAAATGGTAATGTTTAATTAGCTTTCCTTATAGTAGCTACACTATTAAAATACTGCTTAATGTATGCATTTGAATATCCGTAACAATATTTGAATACTAATCTAATAAGGATAGCTTATTCTATACGCTTTCCTTTCCTGTGTTTGGGGATATTTTGTTGATAATAATTTCTATTTTTCTCCATAATCCACTTATAATTTAAATTCTCTAAGTTCTTTAAATTCATGTTTTCTCACTGTTTTTCTCCAGACAGCGGTTTCTTTCAGTGTGCGACAGAGGTATGTGACGAAATTTCCAGAGAAAGGAAATTTTACACTATAAAACTGTTGGTCATTTGCAACACATCAATGTCAACAAACAAACAAACAAACAAAGGCCTCATGCTGGTCTTATACTGGTATGAAACTCTTTCACTTGCAGTATGGCTCATGGGACTGGGGTGCTAAACCTGGCATGTGTCTCTCCACTATAAATGCAGTGTTTTATATTCCAATGATCTGTCTTACCTACTTAATAGGGGGAAAAAACTATCTACCTACTACCTTAGCTACCTGAAAATGTTATAACTTACTTACATGGAAGCTGTAAGGGAAAATTTATATTATACAAAACAAGTAGTAATACAGAAGCATGAGATGTTTATGATTAGGTACCACAGTTATTTGACATCTGAACTAATTACACTCCAAAGTATGATTTCATCAACAGTGCATTAACTGAAAAACAAAAATAAACAGACATAAAAAAACATTACATTGTAAACTTTATCATTTAGTTAGTAATAATTTTGCTAATCATTTTCTGATATTTGAACATTTTATGTTCACATGTGTGAGCTTGCCGGCATTTCACTGTAATTATTTAAACAAAAAGCAGATGATGTTTTGTTCAAATATTGAACATATTAGTAAAGGCAATAGTAAATTATACTCTTCCTAAAATAATATGAGATTTTCTGTCTCAATCACCAGTGCAATGGCAAGAATACTTCCACTGATAACACAGGTTTTTGCTGCGTGATATTGGTGCTTTTTGACTTGAAGACTGAATGAGAAACACATGGAAAGGATGAATGATTATGAATAATGATTATTTAATCATTTTTTCTCACAGCTTACACACGTATATAAAAAAAGCAATTATATCCCATGACATATAATTGTTCTTACCTTATTCTCTTTTTAATTACTATTGTTTATATGAATGCCTCTGCCATAACAATATAAAATATTTCACAGACACACACAACACACACACTTTCCCCTGTACACTTTCTCTTATTCACTAATAATGCCTTTTTTTTAATGATCTGCTTTTATCGTAAAGTGTTCACATATTGGATTGTTTGTAACTGTCATCGTAGCTTTCAGCTGAGTCTCTCCTGACCATCTTGATCTCTGCCTTCTCACGCTTGTCTTTATCATCTTCATCTTCATCAACCTTTTTACTAAACTGGTCCTCAATTTCTGAAGGGTCAATATAAGTGTAGAAATACGCCATAGTGGAAAAGATGATGCACACTAAAACTAAGAGAGACGCAAAAAGGATGTACTCTGCCCACTGTAAAAGAAGAGGGGAGAGACAGGGGGACAAATACAATGTTAGCATTTTTGCACATGCATGGCTTCTGCATGTTTGATATGTATTTGATATGCTGCATTTTTTTCTTACTTTGTTGGGAAGTTTTGCAATCTCAGCCACAATCAGGACTATGAAGTTACCAATAGCAACTGTAAACAACCAGCCGGCTTGCAGCACCGCTTTCATGTTACTAGGTGCCTAAAGTCACAAAAAAGGGACCCAAAATGACAAAAGTCATGGAGAAAGAAACTATTTCATAGACTAATTGACTTGTCATATAAATGTACCTGTGAGTAAGAGAACTCCAGACCAGTAACTGAAAACATCACTTCACCAGCAGTTATGAAGAAGTACTGTGGGATCTGCAGGGCCATGTGAACTGAGTTGGGTTCTATGTCCTCTACCACAGTAATAGAGTCCTGACACTAGAATAAATAGATGGAAATGTTTAATTTTTACACGTGAGAATCCCCAAGATAAAGCACAATAACACCAATATTTCCATTATTTGTCTGTTTGTTCATTTGGTGCTCTTTTCTTTCTTCTTTGGATGATCAAAATTCATGATATTAAAATCATTTGGAAGACTTACATCTGGTCCAAAGACAAAAGTGCTGGGTATGAAGAAAGTGTATGAACCTCCAAATCCAAAGTCCTTAATGTATTCGCATGACTGTGAACCACTCAACAAGGAGAATTTGGTCCTGATCATTAGAAAAGAAAATATTGCTAAGAAACTGTAGTACTGTTTGCATAAATTTTTGCTGTGTTAGTTAAAGTAGAAACATAATTCTTACTCTCCATTCTTTATTGTGGAATAAGTGGAGTAATAAAATGGCTCAATTAGTCCCAAGTCCACTGCAGAAGTGGTCACGTTCACAGGCATGTTCATTCCATTTACAAATCTGAAATATTTACATAGTGAGCAACAGCATTAATAAAGTTACATCAGTGTATGCAGTTCCTATCATTTTCAATGATTTATTTAGCACATAAAGATTATGATTGTAACTAATATGATTTTCTGACTTGATAAAAGGTTAAAACAATTTAAATTTCACTTACCGGATTTCATTGTTACCTTGTCCTGGCTTGGAAGTCAAGTCCTGAGTCTGTGAAAATATAACATTGTATACTTAATAATTTAACAATTAAAAGTCCTCTTGCGTGTCTTTGAATTCATTATCGCTCACCAGAAGCCATTCATCACTAATAACTGAGGGAATAAGAAGAGTTTGTCTGGATTTCCTCTTCAAGAAGATGGCTTGTGTCATCCCAGGGCTGCCAACTGAAACAATGATTCGCTCTGTTTCAAATGTGAAGTATTTGTCACTGGCCTGGAAAACCGAGAAAGTGTTTAAGAAGGTCAAACAGTGGTAATATTTTGTACATAAACATATTTTCATGTCATTTTCAATTCGTTAATAGACCGTATAGTGTTATGAATAAGACGACATACCTGAGCTGCATTAAGAGTCAGCGACTCGTTGCCCGGCAGATTGACTGTGACTGCACTGCTGCCCATGTTAAGTAATTTCAACTGACTCTGGGAGGCAGATGGAAACACTGGCAATGTTTTCTGAAAAACAAGGAATAAGTGTTTGTTTTTCCAAAACTCAAAGAGTCAATAAAATGAAGTGAGTTAAAGTTTTGCTTATTTTACAACACATATCTTTTTCTACTCACATCAATTTCAACTTGGACCAAAGCAGCACAGACAAAAGCCATAGCAGCCAGAAACATCCCCACTGTCATTCTTTTTAGTGGTCTGTTGGATTAACATGAAGTTTTGTTACTAATTTGTGATTTTATTTATTTAAAAAAAACAACGTTTATTTATGTGAAAAGAATAGTTTTCTTTTAAAGTCATCTAATATCTGAAAATTCAACATTAACATGAAAATTTGGGGTTTTATTTAGATTGTGTAGAAATAGAAACAGGTGTGCAAGCTCTTCCTTTCCCTGTCTTCCGTTTTTGTTGAAAAGCAACATGATTCATACAGCTCCTTAGGCTCAATATTAATGAAATTGCTGCTAACAGTGAGCTAGCTTAACACAGTCATTTTCAACATAGGAGTTTGAATCACATCTCAAAACACCCTAAAAAGCATTTTAGCATTAGACCACTGTTAATAGACCAAAAGCTTTTCTGGACAGAACACCTGACATTTCAGAAAGGTCAGTTATTATTCAGTGAGTCATGAATAAAACTACGGACATTTTTGTATTTGTAACATCTATAAAATCACAGGCTGTGTAGAAGTTATGGGGTAGCAGCGCTATGCTAACGTGGACCGACCACCTGCTAGCTTCCAGACGTGGAATTAACTGTAATTTCATCATCGACCATTTGATGAAAAATATTAAATGGAGCTGATCTATAATGATGAACTTTGATAGCAGATCAAAACCGTAACAGTAAAGGTCTTTTAATAACCCTTTGAAGTTAATGTTATGGTGTTATGAAGCATGTAAACCACAGATACTGAACATAGTTCATTGTATTTCTCACTTACGTAAAGTTAAAGCCACATTTCTTAATCAGGGGGTAGATTACGCTGTCCATGATAGGTACCAGAGTCAGGATCAAGATGGGGTTGAAAATCTTTTAAAAAATATTACTGCATCGTTAGTATCCTCTTAAATAACATGTGTTATGTCATTTTAAGTCAATACGATGAAGCTGCTTTAACTTACCTGCATTTGATCGGGCTGTATAACAAGTTTCCCCTGCAGACATAAGGACAATATTATACCATGAACACACTGTATTGGTCAATTATTATGATTACTTTTCGCTGCAATTTTTTATTTTATTTTTTATTTTTTGTTACCAAACTTACAAAGTATCCATTCATTGTGGTAGCTTGCAGCGTCCATCTGGATCCCTTTAAATTAGACCACAATTTTAATTTCCTCTTAGCAGCAAGTGATTTAAATGAAGTCCATTTAAATTAAAAACAAAATTTACTGTACCTTTTGGTCAAATAGGGTCCAGAACATTGGCAGTGGGATGTATAAAAAGAGGACTTTCAGCACCATTTTGATTTGAGCAATCAGGAGTTTCTACAAAACAGGCAGACTGAATGTAAACAAAACAACATTATTCTTATAAGACATTAGAGAAATATATAAAATGAAACTTACATCATATTTTTCCTCTGCCCAGTCCATCCAGTGCTGTCTCCTGGGGTACTGATTGCTCCTGTGCCTGTAGCGGTTATTAATGGCAAACTGAGAGAAGAGCAAAGAGTGATACTGTTTTTAGAAACATTGATTTTTAGAGTTGTTACAATAGCATTTATGGCTGATCACATGAATGCAGAAACAGAAAAGGCTTATATAAACGACTTACCCCAATACATTTACACACATCCAGCATTATGTTTCCCTCGGGTTCAGCTTTGTAGTACATACCACTCCCGACAATAAACACCACTGTTAAGGGAACATCACGGGAAAATCATTAGTTTCAGAATACAGTTTATTTACCCACCCTTTACTTTTTGCTTCATGTTTTGAATTAGCGTCCTAATAATTTAGACATACCGAGTGCAACCACCATTAATGCTGCGGGGACACCGAAAGCCAGGGAATAACATTTCTGCTGACTGTAGATGCCGCACTCCTGACCTGCAGATAGAGGCAAAAAACTTTCATTCAACTACAACTTCAACTAAAAACAAGCACTTTTCCCTGCATGATGTCATTCCTGCATGTTCATGGCACTTTAACTTGATATTTTACTTTAAATGCCTACCTCTCAGGATTGGAGTGATAATGGTGGACAGGAGACTCCCACCATTGATACAGAGGTAGAATACAGAGAAGAAAGTTCTCCTTTGCTTATCCTGCGTAGAAAGACAAGTCAGTAATGTGTTTTGCAAACAGTACAAATACTAAAGTGATAATTATCTATGTAAACCGCCGCCTTGTTGGTGTATATCTTTGAAAAGGTGGTCGAGTTGTATTAAACTCATAATATAAATGGGTTACAGCATAAGCTTAGTATAGCTATATAAGTGGTAATTCTAGGCTTTTAAATATTAAATAACAACTATTAGTTAAACTCATGGTTCTCTAAAGGTTACATGGGTACAAGATTGAGGAAAATGAACAATTTGGTAACTATAGTAACTTAACCACCAATTTAAGATTGCACTCCTCTAACAACATCAAACACCTGTTTAGCCAAGAATATAGATCTCTACATTACTCACACTACACTTGGCTGTGTTATACTGGTGGTTCAATCCGGTGTGTCCCACTTATAAAGCTTGAATACATTCACTTCCTAATTAGTATCATTTCTAGCTTTTATGTCACATCATGTATCATAAAATAGTTCACGTTTAATTTTAGATTTATTCCATATTTTGATGAACAGCACATTATACAGATGTGACATGCTTTTGTCTTTCCCTCAGATTTTTTTCTTATTTTTAAACTGTAATGTTCACAACCCAGAGACAAAGGTTTCTTGGACTTTACAGACAGATTTCCTAGACCCCTTCTTCAGGAGCCACACATGTAGTACTGCTACCCATCGTTAACCACCATCGCCTCAAATTTGACATAATACTCATAATTCCCATCAGCCACAACTTTAATTTGTGTTTGGCTTGAATGTAGAAATGTTAGCATGCTAACAGGTGAAATAAGAAACATAGTAATAGGTATACCTGTTCGTCAGTTTTAGAATTGTCATCGTGAGAAAGTGAGTGATGACTTTGCAATTTATCTGAGCTCATTTTTATTATCACAGAATTTGATAATGGAGAGTTGCATAGAAACCAGGGGGAACAAGGGGATATATTACATGCAATAAAATACTTGAACTATGGATGCTGAAATTACACGTTCAACCACACGCCAGAGGTTAAACATTAGAAGAAGACTCAGCCAAAGAAAGTATTTTGAGAAAGTTAACAGTCTAACCTGGTGCTCACTAAATTGGTCTCCACCAAAAGCAGCCACACAGGGTTTAATGCCACCAGTGCCCAGAGCAATGAGGAAGAGACCCACCATGGACAACGCACTGAATGTGAGGAAGAAGAAATGAATGAGCGCGGTGCATTGTAGAAATATATGATGGAAACTGTGACTCAGTAATTTAAAACTTCAGAAGAAAAGATACCCACACATGAAAGGTCATGTTGTCTGGTGTCCCATCTCTGTTTGAGTCGGTAATGTCATGAACTGCACTGACAGCCATCGCAACCTGTCCAATCGTATAGACAATGGACAAGTAGACGATAGTCCTGAGTGAGGAAGATTGAAAAACAGAGCAGTGAGAAAGTACACGTGTACGTTCCTTAAGTAAAGGCTCCACTCGTCTTTACAAATGAACATTCAGAATTTAATTATGAGCATTTTATTCATTAGAAGACTAATACAAATTTTGTACTATTATGTGTAAAAGTATTCAGTTAAATGCCCTTTGTCTGTCATATTATTACACAGTTATCAGTATCTGCGAATATGTTTCTAATCAGTTCAGTAGAATTGAAGTTACCTTGGTGCAAAAAGAGGATGATCGGGTAAGCGCTGTAGCTATACTTATTTAGATTCTGCCACAATAATAAGGCTACAAGAAATAATAGGATGATAAATGTCTTCATGCATTAAAGAGGAACATGATCTTGTGACTCACTTGAACTTTCCCAGCCAGGAGTCAGCCACAATGGCCCCAAGGATAGGGGTCAAGTAGCAGAGAGCCACAAAAGTGTGGTAGATGGATGTGGCCAAGTCTTCATCCCACTGCAAGAAGTACTTAAAGTACAACACCAACACAGCTGTGGACAGGCAGGGAAAAGAGGCCTTCTTATTTAATTATTAAATGTACATTATTCATGGCACAGGTTTTGATGTTGCCTTAAATTATGCTAATAAGGACCGTTGTAGTTCACGCAATAGTGTCATCCTCCAAAACAATCAAATAAAGGGTTGGTTTAAGCACAAAAATCAGAGGGTTAAGTAGGCTACTTAGTAATTCAAGTGTCCGTGTTCACTGTCATGGCTACATTATTCATGGTTCCTGGATGAAATGTTCTCACCTCGCATTCCATAGTAGGAGAACCTTTCGCAGAACTCATTCACAACAATGAAGAAGATACTGAGTGGGTAGCCACACACATCTTTGCTCTGGTGGGTGGTGAAAAAGTAAAAGGATGAACACCACACCAAAATAAAAGCGTACAAAACTAAAACTAAAACAAAAAAATACTTGGACCTGCATAAAGCTGAATCGACGGTGTTGAGGAGTACCCGGAGAGTTTGTGGAATCAGTATAATTATTCTAGCTAACTGTTTACAACTGGTTAACAGTAGTTACTGCTAGGCACTACTAGGTAGCTTAATTTGAATATCTTAGCACAATTTACTAATAGATTTGAATGTATCGCTGCAAAATAAATAAGAAGAAATTTGCTGATAAAATCAATATAGTAGAATAAAAAACACAATGATTGCTGATAAACACTGAAATGCTTAAAGTACAAGACAAACTTGTCAACATGTAGCGCTTAATTACATAAATATAGAAGAAGAATGAATAGCAAAGTACAGCATATGCAACGTAGAAGCATAAATAACTTTAGTGCTGAACTGAGGTTCTTACAGAGGTACTAACATTTAGTTAATAAAAATATATCTTTATAGCTTTATTGGTATTTATTGCAGCAATAATACAGAGTTGGTGTATAAAGTGCTGACGTCTCCTTTGTTCTTATGTAGCTGTATAAAAAACCCAAAACTGTACTTTACCTTTCCTTTCCCTTTCCCTCGTTTCTTGGGATCTTCTTTGTCTATGCAAAAATGAATGTAATTCTTATTATGATTAAAAAACAGAAATAAGAGACTAATATGCAGGCCTACCAACTTCCTCAGTGTTATATAAAAAAAGCATTTATCTGTCAATGATTCATAGTGTGCAGTAAACATTAAGAGAGCGATAGATATGTAGATAAATAATTTATTGGTCCCACAAAGAATATTGTTGTGTTACAGTAGCAGGATAAAGAATAAAAAATGGTACAGTCTATTAAAAAAAACAGTGCAGTTAACAAAAAAGGTGTTACTGGCACCTGGTAAATATAGGTACACAACGGTGATAGAAAAAAAAAAACAAAGAAAAGAAAAACTGTAAAAATAAGACTGAAACTGTGTAAGACAGTAGTGCAAATTGCATTAATAAATAAATCTGAGATCCTAATATGTTTGGGATCTTTGTCCTGACAGGTGCATTCACCTGTTAAACTCCAGAACTCTTCATTCTGTAAGTTTTTAAGTTAAGAACATGGAACTTGTTTTCTTTCTGTTAACTTCTCCCTCTTTGCACATTTTCATGTTGTGCAGCAGAATATTTGTGTTCTGTGAATTAAAATGAAAGAGTACATAATAATGCATTTCTTTTAGTCTTACCTGCCATGATGTGAAGCTATCACCTGCTTTCTGCTATAGCATAAAATCCCTTTAAGCTTCCTGCAGGGAGCAGATCATTTATCTTTCTCCGTTCACTAGTGGGAGTGGGAATGTTTCCTGTGATATTGCTTTTTATTAACCCTTGATCAGCTTTTCACACTGCCGACTGTATTATTTTTATGATGGGTGGGAACATGAGATATGGGAGCTAGGGAGTCAGCAATGATCTCTGAGAATAATAAGGTTTATTTCCCACTTATTTCACAAGTGAGCCAAGTGCGAGAATACCACAAAATGAAGTAAAACAAATAAGGACCTATGGATGCAAATGCAGAGAAATGAGTGTATTTTATTTAAAAGCATTAGGGAACGTCTTTGTTTACAGCAGAACAGTGACTTGTGTTAAATAAAGTTAAAAAAAAAACATTTCTGCCCAAATAAAAGACAATTTCTGGAACATAAAATGATAAAATTTTCATATTACTTGCACAGTAGGCGTCCTTTCCCAACACCTCATCACTTTGGCAAGAAGGTGAACGTAATCTTTACAGTGTATGAGCCGCACACAGCATGATACTTTGCAAATATTGCACACACTCCTTGTTTTATATACACATTAATACACAACTTGGAATATACCTTTTTGTATGCAATGGCTTTAAATACTTTAAAACTCTCCCATTCTAAGACATCAAAGTGATTTAAGGTTGAATGCTAATGTTACATCGTAGCAGGCCCTTATTCCAAAATTGCATTTTTCTAGAAATATACCTTCATGTACAGGGAGAGGAGCACTGATGTATGCAGCATATACCATTAATCAAGACATCAATACAGTCGCTTATAAAAGTGAAATATTGTCCATAAAAAACATTGTGAAACATTATCAAAATAAACAAAAATGGACTGTTGGGAGAGTGTAGGCGTAATGTAGTGACATGCATATTAAAAAAAATCCCAACAGGAATGTTTTTAAAGAAAACACTGCTCAGTCTTTTCAGGTAGAAACACGTAAAGACAAGACAGGTTATGTCTTATCAAGCATCACGTCATCATAAAGGAGGAACAAAGTCCGTGTCCTGTCATCTCTGCTGCACAGAGTCTCATCTTTGTCTTCCCCCCACCTCCATCACACAGCCACCATGCTCCCTTATCCACGTTAAACAGGTCCAGTGCCTTGCTCATATTGGTCTTCGGTGGCCAGACAGAAAATAGAAAAATGAGACTTGTCTGTTTTTCCCATCAGTTTCTCTCTAGGCTGAGAAGCAGGATTAAGTTCTGGAGTGATAATATGGCATCACTGGCATGCCTGCGTTGGCAGGCTTAGGCAGCTCTTAGTTTCACCCAGGCTGACATCAAACCACAGAGGATGAGCTGGGAATGCCCTGGATGGTGGCACTGGTTGGTGTGCCACTGATGGCATTAAAGATGTGAAGCGAGTCTGGGAGAACGCTTTTCATGCCATCCTCCACTGGAATGATCTGGAAAGAAAAGAGTGTGTAGGGAAGAACAGACAGTCTTAGCAAACAGTTACTGCAAGTGAATCTCATTTTTAACATTGCTCTAGTTAGCTTTCTTGCTAAAAGTTGATGAGGACACTGATACTACTCTCATGTATATATGCAAAAATATAACGCTACAGATGGAACACAGCTAGCTTAGCTAGGGAAACAGACTCGAAAAAAGAGGAAACAGCAACTTCTGTCTAAATAGTAACAAAAACTGTCAGTTAGCACTTCTAATTAACTAATTAACATGTCAGGCTATTAGTTGGCTTTGAACAGAGCCAGGCAAACAGTTTTTCCTCCCTTTTGAGGTTTTGTCTCAGGTTAAGCTAACTAGCTTGCTGTAGCTGTATATTAACCAAGCATATAAAGACATATAAAGCTAATTTAAAGCAAAGGTATTAATCAGGAAGCTTAACACATACATGAAACCAAAAACAGCTAGGTAAAAACAATCAATCCACAAAACACGCACACACAAAAAAATCTGAAAGCAGAAGAAAAATTTGTGCATGTATGTATGTACTTAAACAAATAATGTAAATTGATGTTGCATAGCATACACATTCTGAATCTGATCCACAAACATACTGTTAATTCACACTCAAATACATGTAATGTACACACATATATGTACATGCATATACACGATACATACTGTGTATGCGTGCAAGACAATAACTCGGCAAGCCAAAACAGAAAAAAAGAGCCAATATGTGATTGTTGGTGTAGCCAGACGCTGGAACAAGTATATTTAGAACAGGAATGTTTTATGTTTTGATTTTGGAAATTGCTGCAATAGAGTTGAAATACTTGAATGTTAATGGCTTCAGTCTTTGCAAAGGGCACCTTTTGCAATTTCCTGGTGAGCTGACTAAAATAATATTTTATGTGTGGCTAATTTCAGATTTATTGCAGGGATGTAAAGATAAGTCAGTGGCCTGATGAGATAACTGTGTATCAATCTATCTAGTGTTTTTAAGGTCCTCTAGCTTTACCAGCTTAAAAAATTCTAATGATATTATTAAGAAACATTTGGCTAATTAGAATTGAGAACAAGGACTTATTAATGTTTGAGTCTGTTTTATAGTCTAAAATGTAATCTGTACACCAATTCCACCTCAAGCCACTTTGTACCATCAATCCTTAAGTTGCACAGACATCTGACGGAACCAACAATTAACTGTCTTTATTGCACACGTATTTGTCTTTCATTACCATCATATCTGCTCATGTCAGCACAAAGAGAGAACAGAGAGTGATGTTATCAAAGAGCCCATTATCACTTAATCAATCATACAATAAATGACACACTGTCTACCTGCCAAAACCCTAATTCAGAGTCAGATTACAGGTATAGCATTAGCAACGCTCAATGTAATTACACTATTACTTGGGCTGAGCAACAGCTAATGTACTTACTTGTTCGTGCATGATGATGGACAGCTCTCTGGCTAGTTCTCTGTAGTTGGCCTTCATCTCATCGTGGTACTCCTGCTGGTCTTCTTTGATCAGTCGTTCATTAATGCCCAAACCGTGGCCACACGCATCCACAAAATGCCTGATCGCAAAAACAGTGTTAAAATGTGCTAAAGGGAGATCTGAACAATCTTTGCACAGAAACACACACAGTCATGTTTTCATATCTTTGTGAGGACATCTAATTGACATAATGCTTTGCCCTAGCTGCTTACCCTAACCCCAACCATCAAAAATGAAGTCTAACCTTAACCCTAAAACTAACCATAACCTAATTGTAACCCTGACACTAAAACCACATTGAGCCTCAGAAATGCCTTCAAACTTGTGGGGACAGGAACTGTGTCCCCACAAGGGCTGTTGGTCCCCACAAAGATATGCAAACGTGGTACTCACACCCTCACGTAAGTCAGCGACATCTCACCTGAAGACCTCTTTCAACTGTTTGACCTTGTTATCAGGATATTTCTTGGCACATGTATCATCGAGAAAAGCTCTGGCATACGCAAGAGGTCCTGCATTTACCTGAGGGCGGATGTGATAGATTTTTTTTTGTAAGTATTGTATGTCAGGTTTGTATTTTGTTGCTTTTACGTTTCACAGAACTTAAAAGCAGCCACCTGGACGCTGATGCTGCCCTGCAGTTTGAGCTGCAGACGGATCATGTCCACC